GCCAGCGTCAGGGGGAGTTCTGGTTCGAGGACTGACTTCTTTCTTTCTTTTCTTTCCTTTCTTTCTTTCTTTCTCTCTTTCTCCTTAACGATTGCAGCAAGCGCTAGCAGCATGGGTGTTTGTCGTTTCCTGAGAAAACTTCAAAATTAAACGGCTTGTTCCACTTCCAACACCCTCAGTTATCGTTAACCAGCTGGTGACACCCAGATCTGTGCAGCTGGGGCAGGCCTGTTATGATGCAATGGGAACTATGCCATGACGACTGGTAAGATTTGGCCATAGCCATGACGGAGCCCCACAGGGTTTCGTTCACCACTCTCCACGGTCCACTGAGCAGCAGCTTCTTGAAGAAGTCTCGCAAAGATGATGGAGAGCAACCCCAGGACTCGGAACCAGCTGCGACAGCCGTTCGAATCACACTCACTCTCTTCGAGCCGGATCACAAACGTTGTCCAGAATTTTTCTACCCAGATCTTCTGAAGAGTTGTCGAGGGAAAGTAAAAAGTGGTTCTTCAGGAGACAAGGTAAGTGTCCTCGTGGCCTGTGGGGAACGATGCTCGTTTAGCTTGAAATTGCTTGATTAAAAGTGATTTTTGGTACCTGGCTTGCTAGGTGCTATGAGGAGCTCTTTTCCAAAGAGCATCCAAAGGAGAGACGCTTCCACACTATGTGGCTGCATCTTTTTGGGGACCCTGCTCTACTGCACGTGAATGCTTCCACCTTGGTGTGTGGCATCTCTTCCTTTGTGGTGGATGTGGCACTTCCAGGTGTTGCCTGACAATTTTGTTTGCCTGTTAAAACCCATTTCTCAGGATGTGATGATGTGCAAACTTCTGTAGTGTTTATGCTTTGTCTTATGGGTGTTTTTCTATGAAAAGAAAATTGATTGGGTTCTACTAATTTTTACTGTTGTTCTTCAGAACTGTTTAGCAGTCAGTGGATGGCTCATGCTGGTTTTTTTTTTTTTCTTTTTTTGAGAGTCGAGGGAAGCAGAGACAGGTACAGAACTAGCTGAGAGTGCACCCAAAACCTAGAGACACTCCCAGAATCAGAGAATGGTTTGGGTTGGAAGGGACCTTTAAAGCTCACCTAGTCCCACCCCCCTGCCATGGGCAGGGACACCCTCCACTAGCCCAGGTTGCCCAAAGCCCCATCCAACCTGGCCTTGAACACTGCCAGGGAGCCAGGGGCAGCCACAGCTTCTCTGGGCACCCTGTGCCAGGGCCTCAGCACCCTCACAGGGAAGGATTTCTGCCTCACATCTCATCTCCATCTCCCCTCCTGCAGCTTCAGGCCATTCCCCTTGGCCTGTCACTCCCTGCCCTTGGCACCAGCCCCTCTCCAGCTTTCCTGGAGCCCCTGCAGGGACTGGAAGGGGCTCTAAGGTCTCCCCGGAGCCTTCTCTTCTCCAGGCTGAGCAACCCCAACTCTCTCAGCCTGTCTCCAGAGCAGAGGTGCTCCATCATCTCCGTGACCTCCTCTGGACTCTCTCCAACAGCTCCATGTTCTTCTTGTGCTGGGGACCCCCGAGCTGGACGCAGCACTGCAGGGGGGTCTCACCAGAGGGGCAGAATCCCCTCCCTCGACCTGCTGGTCACGCTGCTGGACACGCAGCCCAGGACACGGTTGGCTTTCTGGGCTGCCAGCACATGTTGCTGGGTCACGTCCAGCTTTTCATCCCCCCGTACCCCCACGTCCTTCTCCTCAGGGCTGCTCTCAATCCCTTCGTGCCCCAGCCTGTGCTGATACTGGGGATTGCCCTGACCCACGTGCAGGACCTTGCACTTGGCCTTGTTGAACTTCATGCAGTTCGCACTTGCCCACCTCTCCAGCCTGTCCAGGTCCTTCTGGATGGCATCCCTTCCCTCTGGCGTGTCGACCCACCACACAGCTTGGTGTCATCGGCAAACTTGCTGAGGGTGTGCTTGATCCCACTGTCTGTCATTGATGAGGCTAAACCCTCTAACTAAACGATACTGTACTTAAATACTGCAGTAAAGTTTGATTTGTCTGAGCTTCTGCCTGGATGTGCTAATGGTGATGGGTTTAACGCGTGGGGTTTTGGTGGCAGTGTGACAGGATGGATTCTGATGTTTTTGTCTCTCATTTCTACAGAAGAAAGACCCTGCTGATCCCTTTAATGATGACGAAAAGGAAAGGCATAAAGTGGAGGCTCTTGCTCGCAAGTTTGAAGAAAAATACGTATGTTTTTCTTTTTTCTATTATCCCTTAGAATGAGTAATGCTGTTCAGCTCTCGACAAGCAGTATTTAATGGTCACTGGCTCTTATGTTCTTGTTCTCCTGCCATCCTTTATCTTGGCTGGAAGTTGCTGTTTTCCACGTTCCTTTCCTGTTTCAGGGCTGTGGTCCACAAAAATAGTTCAGCTATGTTCTTAAATCAGATGACAGTCTGATTAACGTGAATGACGTTCACAACTGTAGTGGCAAATGTCATTATCTTAATGTAACATATAAAATTTAATTTTCTTAAGCAAAAATTAATTTCTAGGCCTTGTAGCTGTGGCACAATGTCATCTGTTGAGTCTCTAAGTACGGTGCTCTGGTGAGTTTGCTGCCCTTAGGACAGTATTGCGCTGGGTAGCGTGAGAGACGCTGATCTGTCTTACCCGTTTCCTTGCTGTTCTTCCTCTCGCTTTACTTCCATAGCTGGCCGTAAAACTACATTATGTTTTACGAGTGGTAATTCTGGATAGCGAGCTGCTGTATTGTCTTGTGATATGAATTTGACCTACGGGCTATCCTAACGCATTGTGTGTATGTTTGATGTGTGTAGTACTGGGTTTGTACTAACTGTGTGGCAGTGATGGAAAAACGATCCATCTCTGCGCCGGCAGAAATGCCGAAGGGCCGCAGACCCAATTCAGTGCAAAGTCTGCTGGCACCAAATCAGACTGCCCAGCAGGTCAGCCTTTCCTTCCATTTGGCTGTACCGGTTTTGGTTCTATATGACAAGGCCTAAAACTGGCTGTACCATACCCTGAGATTACAGTCTGATGTGAGTTAATGCTGGTTTGGTTCTGCTGCTGTTAGCAGCAAAAACGATCTCATTCTCTTTTCTGCACTGGAGCCAATGCCAGTGTCCTGTATCAGGGCATTCCTTGTGGTAATTGGAAAAGAAAGATGAACTCACTGTCAATCTTTTGTTTAGGGTGGCAAGAGGCGTAGAAAGGACCGTATTCAGGACTTGATTGATATGGGGTATGGATACGACGAATCTGACTCCTTCATTGACAATTCTGAAGCAGTGAGTACTGGGGCAGGAGTGAGGGTGGTTAAAGGGGCTGCCTGGGGGGCTGAGCTGGCGCCCGGGGGGAACCTGAACTGGGCGCAAGGAGGAGCGTGCCAGGGCTAGGGAACGAGAGCTCTTGTGGCGACTGCGCGGCAGGGGATGCTGGTTAGCAGGTGTACCCGCAGCCCCGAATGTTCTTGGGGGAGCACGAGTCCCTCCATTCTCCAGGCAGCTCAGCTACAGAGTAAAGTGACAAGGCTTACGGCGCCAATAGGTTGTTCTCTGTTATTTCCAGTACGATGAGCTTGTTCCGGCTTCTCTTACTACGAAGTATGGAGGGTTTTACATCAACTCAGGAACACTGCAATTTCGGCAAGCGTCTGAATCTGAAGATGACTATGTTAAAGAGAAGAAGAAGAAGTGTCCCAAGGTCAGCAAGCCAGCTTTCTCGATTATTTCCTCTGTTAGAGCTTGGTGGGTTTGCTGTGTGAAAAGTGTGACTCTGCTGGGAAACTAGTGCTCCTCTTCAGTGGCGATGTCTTTTGGAGACAGCCCTGTTTTCACGATGCTGAAACGAGGAGGCTGAAAGGGGAAACAGCGGGAGCTCTTGGCATCCCTTCACCTTTAGTGATAGGATTGTCTCTAGTGTAACAGCTTGGTGCGCTGTGAAATGCTGAAGACGGTGTGTGCCAGAACCGAGGTGATAGATGTCTGGGGTTTGGGTTAACGTGCCCAGTGGGGAAGGAGCTGTTCTCAAATTCTTGGGAGAGGGCCCAAAGTGCCCCTGGGGGTGCAGGTCCGATTCCAGGAACAGGAGACGCTTTGATTGTGACGTGGTTTTAACCCTCTCCAGAAGCGAAAGTTGAAAGATGGAAGTGAAAAACTGAAGAAGAAGAAGAAAGATGAATCTTACGACAAGGAAAAGAAATCCAAAAAGTCCAAGTTTCCAAAAGCTGGGTAAGGAGGAGGAGGGAACACTTGCTGCTTGACACCTTGCTTCAGGGTTACAGGGGGCATTTGTTTCACTGCAGCGGGGGGTGGCTTGAGTGCATGCTGTATAAACACCATCAGGTAAACCAACCCCCATTGCCTCCAAAGTGGGAGAAAAAAGGCAGCTCATGATGAGGGAAGGAGCACAGCTCCCTAGCAAGCGTGTCCAAGCAAAGAGGGGCACAGCTAGCTGAAATGTTGGTGTTTCTTGGAGCTCTGTTTAGGCACTAACGGTGGGAACGGATATTGGAGAGCCTGAAGGGAAGGAAAAGGAATTGGCTCTCCTGGTTTTAATAGGTAAAAAGCTTCAAGCTGCTGTCATGCTAACTCTCTCTTGCTTCAGTTCCTCTGCACTAGTTGTTCGTGTATTTCCAAATCTTCCTTGCTGGAATAATGCATGTAGCTAAATAAGAGCATAGCTTGGTGGAGATGGTTTAAGCTCCATCATCTCTCTGCAGTGAGGAAGGACAGCCTCCTCCAGGCTGAAAATGCAGCAGGACCTTAAGAGGCAGTAGAATATTTTTCCTGGTGTGACTGGTTAAGGGGCTAAGACTTTCTAGGGGATTGGTGCCTATGGCTGAAGTGAACTGGGATGAAGGTATCCTCCTCTCTTCCCCTTCATCTTTTCCCATCATCTATTCATTTCACTTCCCTTTCCTTCTCCGTACTTTGTTTACAGCTTTACAGCGTTAAATGCAAGTAAGGAGAAGAAGAAGAAGAAATACTCTGGTGCTCTTAGTGTCAAGGAGATGCTGAAGAAGTTTCAGAAGGAGAAGGATGCTCAGAAGAAAAAAGATGAAGAGCAGAAAGCAGTGACTCCTTCACCAGCAGAACCTCAAGCCCCGAGGGAGGCGGAGGCGATGGCTGACCCTTTGCTCTCTCTCTTTGGCCACGCCAGTGATAACGACTTGCTTCAAGCAGCAACGGCTATGGACTCGTTAACTGACCTAGACCTGGAGCGGCTCTTCAGTGAATCCCCAGAAGGGAGTCCCTTTCCGGATGTGGAGGATGGGAGTGATCCTATTGGGATGGGCTTGGAACAGGATTTCAAGCAGCCGCCATCCCTCCCAGAAGGCCTGCCAGCCCCTTTGGAGAAACGCATCAAAGAACTGGCTCAGGTATGGCAGTTCATTGCGGGGCAGTGCGGTTGTGTGGTTGCTGGAGGGGTACAGCTCTGCAGGGTTTGTGTAGCTTCACCCAGAGACAGAGCAAGGTCCAGTGGGGAGTTTCGCAGTGACAGGTGGGATCACATCTTTGTATCACCCAGTTTTCTCTTATGGCCAGGTCGCTTTCTTGAATGCCCGGATGTCAGTTAGTGTCAAAGTCCTTGGCCTTGTTACCTAATGAATCACAGAATCCCAGGCTGGTGGGGGCTGGCA